GCTGCAGTTTAATGATTTTACGTTTACTTAGCAATAACTATTTTTACAATATATATATATATGTGTATTTTTTTAGTACTTGGTTGCAATATTTCTCGCAAAGTACTCGACGACAATGTGTGAAGACTCGAAAGAGAATTAATATTTTTTTTACACATTTAGTTGGACTCTAAAGCTAATTTAATTTTTTTTTATATTTTTGTTCAATTTTTGATGACAACAATTTGGGGACACGTTTCCCTTCTGGTATTCGACGAGAAGGTGCAATCCCTCAAAGGATTTTCCGTCTCTTTTTTTTTTTTTGTTTTCTCTAAGCTTTTGAATATCATATTTCTCTTAAATAATATTGCTCTATTATCGATTCATTTGGCCACAATAATTTAATGTCATATTTTTCTTTAAAGAGTTAAAAAAAAAATGTTTTTTTTGCTTAAACATTTAGGCTGTCTTATTTGTCTCAAATAATATATTTTTTTACTTGATTCATTTGATCACAATAATTTGGAAAAATATTTAACTCGATGAAATTCCATCCGCAGTTGTGGAAAATTCGTGGAAAACGGCTGCACAAAAGTTTTGGCTTTAAAATCTTTTTCTAAGAAATAAACTTCTTGTAGGATAGCATTTGGAGTTTGTCCAGACATATTAACCAAAACTATGTCGACTATATCTATGGCTATTGGAATTATCGGTCTGATTAAGCTCTCGTATAAAATATCTGAAGAGCCGCAAGGGTATTTAATATTCGGTGCGGTGTATAAGCAAAAGAAATTACATGAATACTTAATTTGATTGTACAAAATGTTTAAATTGCAGGCGGAGAATGTACAAGAATCATACCCTAAGGACATATCCTTCATCGGCATATGCGACTTGAGCAAGCATTTGGTAACACAGAGCGTAAGTCTAAAAGGCAGCATTATTATATATAGTATATATGTTATATGTTTTACAGTTGCTTTCCTCTCTAAAATCTTCAGTCCATTGGGTCAGGAGTGCAGCTGGGCTGAGGCTCCTGGACTAGGTTGCCTGAAAGCTGGCCAAACGCACATCGAACTCGAGCTTGTGCTCGTTCTTCAGATAGCGTCGCATGCCGAGCAGCAGATAACGCAGCTGGGGTGCGCCCAGCACGTCCAGCAGGAGCACCATCAGAGTCTCGAAGCAACCGTCGCCGCCAGTTTTATAGGCCAGCAGCGCCTTGCCAAAGCTGCGAAACTGATCGCAATCGATGACGCTGCGCACCTGAAACGTGCAGGAGTTAAAGGAAGCGAACTACTTGCTGGTGGACCAGATACGAACCTCACGCAGAAAATCTGCACGCGATTCGGGCGCCTCTTTAAGCTGAGATTGTGCGGGAGTTGGACAGAAACTGCTGCTAGTCGTGGCCGGCTCGCTGGGCTCGGTCTTGAGCGGACCGTTGCCGATGAGCTTGTAGCGCTTCTTGGCGATCATCGAAGATTCGCTGGCTGTGGGTGAGCTGCGCTCGCGTTTGTGTATCTTGACCAGATCCTGACCAGCGTCCGCGCTATTAAAGTCGATGCTCTGTCGAAAGTCGAAAGGCAAACCAGTTTGGGACATCAGCTCAGGCAGACAAACTTACCGTCACATTGGCATTGAGTCGACTCATAAAGTCCATGGCATCGGGTGCTCTGCGGCCCAGCGTGCTGCTTCCCGCTGCGTTCGCATAGTCTGCCGGCGTCCACGTCTTGATGGTGTTGGCCATTTCAGCCTGGCTGCAAAGTGTTAACATATTTTAAAATAAGCTAGTCACCATAAGCCGAGGCCATGAATAACTTACGCAGCCAGCTCGCTGGCCAGCTGAAACTTGGTGCCTCCGGTGCCGGGTTCACGTTTGATGGTAATCTGGCTGCTGCTGGCGCACGCCAGCGTGGGCTGCTCCTCCTTGCAAACGGTTTGCAGCAGCGGCTCAACGACGCGCTCCTCGGGCTGTGCCATCTGCGGAATGCGAAAGATTAGTTGGCATAAGAAACGTGACGCGGATTAAATGTGTGCTAACCGTTTGCTCGGCATGCTTGAAGAATTGCCGCAGCTCACGCACAATGGGACCAAAGGGCGAGCTTTGTGGCCGTGCGCCCAGATGACCGCGTATCCATTTGGACAGCTGCTGCACCTGCGACATATCCTGGAAGCGTGCATCGCACAGCAAGATGGCGCCATAGTCGTTGCGATGCCGGATGACACGGCCAATCGCCTGATTGACGGCACGTGTCGCATCCAAATTGTACCATTCCTGGCCGCTGAGCAGCTGATTCTCTTTGGTGCGATTCGTTTCGAGGTAGCGACGCTTCAATACCACCTTGGGATCCTTGAGCGGTGGAAAGGGCAGGCCCGTTATGATCACCGCCCGACCGTTGCGATCGGCAAAGTCCAGGCCCTCGGACACCTTGCCGCGACACACGGCCATAAAGCAGGCGCCCTTCGAGTCGCGTATCGCCTGATAGAACTCCTCCATGGTGCTCGTGAACTGATCCTTGCCGCGCGGCTCCAAAAATATTGGCTTGCGGCACGATATATCCGCCCACAGGCCGCTCGCCTGCCAAGCGTCCACGCACTGATTCAGCATCGGATACGACGGAAAGAACACCAACAGTCCGTCCGGCACAATGCGCGACACATTCAAGATCGTTTGGCCCAGCGAGCTGATGTACTTCGGATTGTCCCTGCGTACAGAAGAACAAGAAATATTAATTCAACTTTTACAAGATGATAATGTTACTCAGGAATAACTAATTTGGCCGGTGCTCCGAGCCCGACGAGCTCTCTGTGATCTTTCAAAACAATTATCTGTATTTGTGTTTGTGCCTGTAGATTCTTGCCCATACCGATTCTTGTAGTTGGATATGAGCTGCTCGCGATCCGGGCCGGTGCCAATGATTTTGACATAGACCTGCGAGCGGTCGACTATGTGCGGATTCTCCAGATGCTGAGCCACGGGTATGGCCAGCTCGGCAATGAGCGGCTTGAGGGGCGCCAGCGTGCCGCTGGTAAGGATGACGCTGCGCACGTGTGCATTGAGCAGCTGTTCCATGCCGAAGCCCGGATTGAAGCACCAGAAATTGATGATCTTTGCCGCTTTGGTGACGCTGCTCGCTGCATTGTTGCCCTTGCCCAGCCAGCCGGTTTGCGGCTTGGCACTGTTCGCTGCATTTTTCGACTGTTTGTTGTCCTCAATCTCGACGTGCACCTTGAAGCTGCGATGCACCTTGGACATGACATCCTCCTTGTTGGCAAACACAATGTTCAGCAGATCGGCGAGCACCATAAAGCTGCCGCCCTTGCGCAGCATCGTCGAGTGCTGCGAGGCGACCATGAGATACTGCACCAGCTTGTCCAGCAGGGCGACAATTGTGGCGCAATTGCCATAGGTGAACTGCATCGGTATGGGCACAAGGATTAGCTTTATATAACTTGTTTACGGGCTGAACCAACTTACGTTTGCTTTGCCGAGCAGCTCGTAGATATGCGCAGCTGGATAGGTGGTGCCTTCGGCTTTGTTGTCGACGACAACGCCATCGATGGCCTTCTCCAGCTCGAGGAGCATCTCCTTGAGCAGCGTCAGATCGTCGAGGGTAAAGTCTTTCGGCTCTTCGGGACCGCCCGTGTCCTGTGCATCGCCGCTGGTGAAAATTTTCATAATGTGCGTGATATCCTCAATGGCCATGGCCACATCGGAGGAGCGTATCTGCACCGAGGCGGACTCCTCGCAGATCTTCTCAATGTTGTGCGCCTCGTCCAATATGACAATCGTGTTGCTCAGCTCAATCTTGTTCGCCTTGCGCGCCTTCGGATCCAGCAAATAGTTGTAGGGCATGAATGTGATGTCCGCGCCGTTGACCAGTTCCTTGGAGGCAAAGTAGGGGCACATTTTGAGGCGCTGGCCGACCTTAACCAGATCCTCAATATCCATGATGCTGGGACCCCGAAAATCGGGATGATCCTTTTTGGACTCGACGCGCAACTGGAACGAACACGTCTTCGCGTGCACCTTCAGCTTGCACATGTTCACCTTGTTCGAGTTACCCTGCTCCCGCATCACGTCCGGATGTATGCAAAGCTGATCCCGCGAGCCGAGCACCACAGATTTCATGTTGGCATAGGCGGTTCGTTTCAGCTCACGCATCGCCTGACTCAGCTGGGAGTGGGTGCGCGAGGCGTATATCACCTTGGGCACACCCCAATTGTTGGCTTTACCCATGACGGCGTTTAAGTCAGCAACGCCGGCGCCAGCTCCACCTGTTGCTTGTTTCTGTTGGTCCAGTTGCAGCTTCTGCATGTACTGCTGCTGCTCCGATTGACGTGTCCGTATCCAGGCAAGCGAGGCGCACAACAGACTCAGAGTTTTGCCCGTGCCGGTGGGTGATTCGAGTACGCCGTTGGTGCCATCGCGCAGGCACATAATCACCTTCTCCATGTAGGCGCGCTGCACCTCGTATGGCTCAAAGGGAAAATGCACCGGAATGCCGGCGATAATATTCTCCGGCATTGCACTCGAGTGGCACCTCTTATGTTCAGCACTTGCAAGCAGACACGCACACACACACACGTAGATACGCCTATGCACACCCTTATCCTATTATCGATCCGGGAAATGCTGTTTGTTGTCGTTCCTGTTATCCGTTGTCTGTCGAGTTCGCGCGCCAAAACAATATTAACATGTGTTCTATGGACAAAACGACCCTGTTTTAGAACCGATTAGAACAGGCTAGTCGCCTGTGTTGTGTGCGGCAAAACAAATAGATACATTATTGATGCCACATTTTGCTAAAGTATTAGGGAATCAGATTTATTATTTATATTATTGCCAATTGTGTTCGACTGTTTAATTGTGCTCGATTGTGAAATTAATTAAAATAAACAAATAAGTAACCAAACCAACTCTGTGCCAGCTTGATGGCTAACAGCCCTGTGCATTTATCGATTTATCGATATACACCAAAAATAACAACAATCGCAGCGGCTCAGTTAGTTTTTTACTTTTGAACAGAGAGGTTGGTTGGCCAGCGGCGCCAAAGTAGATGAAACAGATGCAATAGCAATAGAAAAGGCAGAGGCGACAACTCGGGACGGCCTCAGTGTGTGTGTGAAACAAACTTACCCGCCTGCTGAGATACTACAAGTAAACATACAAATTGCTATATACATACATACATGCCACCACTGGTCGTGTCGTGGTCGTGTCGCTTCGGCGGTTCGGCTGTCGGTCGGTCGTTTGCGCCATCGCCATCGCCATCGCCGTCGTTGCCGTTGCCGTTGTCGTCGTCGCCGCCGTCGTCGTCGTCGTCATCGTCATCGCAGTCGACAGTCAGTCAGTCAGTCAGTCAGTTGGCGAGTGGATTGGTTGGTTGGATGTTGGGTTCGGTTGCGCGGTCGGGTAGCGGGGGCGGCTGCTTGGATGAGCGAGCGCCAAAAGAGAGGAGCAGTGAGCGTGAGAGCGTGCGTATAAAAGTTGTTGTTTGTGTGCTATGGGCTATGCACCTTAATACAGCCGCACACATACACACCATACGCGCGCGTGTGTGTGTGTATGTGTATGTGCCTTATTTAACTGTGTGTGAGTGCGTGGCTATGGTCGTTGGTTTGAGCGCGCGCGGCGGAGGTGGTGATAAATTTTTGTTGGCACAAAGTAAAATATAACAGAATAAAAAATTGCTCAAAACAACACTGCGCGCTACCTACCCCACCCCTCCACTACACTCCACTCCACTGCTCAATCAGTCAGATTCACACAGTTCGTCGTCTTAACGCAGATACAACAACTGTAACTGAATATTCCCGATTAATAACAATAATATGAATATTTGTTTAGCTAATTGCCAACAACATATTAAACGGCTAACGCTGCGCCCCGCTCTTTTTGGCTGCAGGCGCCGTGTAGAGTTGGCCCGTCCAGTCCGAGCAGTAGTAAATAGTTTAGCTAATGTTTAGTGCTTCTTTCTATTTTTTTTTTTTTTTTTTTTTTTTTTACCACTCGACTCTCACTGAAGATGATGAAGATGCTGTGCGTGTGTTTGTGAAAGAGATAGTGTGTGTGTGTGTGTGTGTGAATGTTTGTAACGTTGCAAACGCAGTTGTAATAATGATTATTTTAGTGTTATTAATGCCGCAACAATTATTGCACTCACAATCAGCTGCAAATAATAGACACGATAACATTTGAAATCTTGGCGGGTTCTAGACAATCGGTTGCAGTGTTGCATTGCGTGTATCGTCGATCGATAGACGATAAACGCATTAGCCAGCCCCACTGCCACATGCAAATAAGTTCTTGTTCGTGTCCATGTCGCATTTAATATTAAGGTCACTCTAATCATGCTGTTTGTCAAATAATGTGCGACTCTATAACCATCTACCCCTCTCCCAGCTCTCACTCACACCACAGCCAAACAGCAAAAACAATTGCCGATCCTGTGCGGCAAGGTTGATTCTCAAATCAAGGTGCTGTTGTTTCTGTGTTGCTTTTACAAGCTCTTAGCAGTAAATTTGAAAGCCGTAGCGTGTTCAGTTGCGGCTACAAAAAGAACAAAAAAAAAAAATATGCAGGAGTATATTCAACCCCCTCCCTACCCGCATTGTTGTGTTACCTTGCTGTTGTGGCAGCGTTGCCACCAGCGGCAAATACTAATGTTATTGTGTGCTAAACAATTCTGTTTGAGTTTGTGTTTCTGATTAATAATGTATTAAATAATTTGACGTGACCGTTTGATAATAATATCCACGTGCTTGTTATTGGTTACCTGCAAGCATCTGCTTACCTAGTCTATTGTGCATTCTGTTAGATGTCTGGCAACACTGTGCTGCGTCGTTGAGCGTGAATGTAGTACACGCATGTAATACGCTTGCATGTGTGTGCGCGCGCGTGTGTGTGTGAATGAGTGCTCCTATTCAAATAGAAATTGAGTGCTTTGTACTCGAAACTCAGTCAATTAGTCGCCAGAAGGCGGCGGCACCGATGACAACGACAAATGCAGGCGCGTCGATAAGAATTTTTCAGTTTTTTTTTTTTTATTGTTTGCCGCGCGTCATTTTACATTCCTTCGAAATACATTGTATGTACGTTGACTTGAACTTAAATCGTGTCCGTGGCAAGGGGAGGGATTTTTTTTTTTCCTAATTTGTTTTTGCCAGCAAGTGCGGAAATTTTAGATAATATCCGAATATTTTTCATCTTTGCCTTTGGCCAGTTGTTGCTGCCAATTAGAGATGCGTGCGTGAGAGTGACGTGAGCCGATCGTTAGAGATGATAGTGAAAGAAAAACTGCACACGTGCATCTCAACTAATATGCACGGTCGTGTGTATGACTGCGACTCTATATATTAATGCCTGTGCACATATATATATGTGTGTATGCGAATTCATTGTGTTTCGAAAAGAAGGCCTTGATAATACATTCCGATATGGGTGTAAATTGTGAAAGCAACAGAAATATGAGCATTCATAGGTAGAGGCATACAAAAATATATATATATATATATTTGCATAATTATATGTATATATATACACACACGCACACACACACACACACACACTTATCAGCATGATCGTGCATGTGGATCTCGTGAATTGATCAATGTGCTCACGCTCACGTTCACGCTCATCTCTAATGCCAACAGAGCGATCGCAAACCCAATCGCAATCGCATACTAGCCAAGTGTAGAGTAAATGAATGACTTTTGTAGAGCAGCCGAAATAACTAACTGGCTGTGGCAGAGGGCGTCTCCGAGTCGATTGTCTGCTGTTTGGCCTGAATTTGTGTCAAACCTTTTTTTTTTGTTTTATTTTGTTTTTTTTTTGTGTTTTTGTTTTTGTTTCCAGAATCCAGAGCGCTGGGGATGCGCATATAAGACGACAACTTGAGAGAGGGAGAGAGAAGAAAAATGAAAAAAAAAGAGAGAGAGCGAGAGCGAGCGATCAAGCTTTAAAGTCGCAGTCAGAAGCTCTTCGGGCAAAATTAGCACATTTATTGTCCAAATTGTGCGTGTTCTTGTTAGTGTGTGCCTGTATGTGTATGTGTTTGAGTATCGTTTGCTTGAGCGCATTATCAGTGATTGCGAAGGTGATAGATGTATACATGCATATGCACATATTCGTGTATGCGTATCTATCTGTCGTGCGTTCGTCTGTGTATGTGTGTGTGTGTGTGTGTGTGTGCGTGCGTGCGAGTGTATTACAAAACTTAGATAAATCGACTTCGTTTGTGTTTGCTTAATTTCACTGTCGCACCACAGTGCGTATGCGCAACATACGAATTGTAATTGACTGAAATATTTTTCCTTTCTCTTTCCATAACATTTTTTTTTTTGTTCTTTATTTGTTTTTTTTTTTTTTCTTGTCTCCCGTTTCATTGCAGAGCTTGTTGGTACTTTTCAAATCCAAATGTCAGCTGTTTCACGCAACATGTACTATAAAAGCGGCACAGTGAAACGAAGAAAAAGAGCAAATCGCTTAAGTCCAGGACATCAGGAGAAAGAAGCACGCTGCTAGCAATCACTGAGAAAGAGCAGCAGCAACAGCAACAAAGTCAAGAGAGCTGTAAAATACAAACAAACAACAACAACAACACACACACACAAAAACACACCAAAAAGAAGAAGAAGAAGAAGCTGCAACAGGGACGACAACAACAACAACAACAACAAGTAACGGATAAGTGTTGGAGAAGAGCTATATGCAACAGTCAGTAGTTACAAGAGAAGAAGCAGAAGAAGACGAAGAAGAAGAAGAAGAGGAAGACGACAACGACTCTGCACAACACACCCACAACTCTCAATTACACAGAAAATACCTACCTACGCTCTCCTCTCGCACGCTTGCTAGCTCGCTCACTCTTTCACTCACAAACTGCGGCTGCATTGCGCTCACATTGACTCTCTGACAGCGCAAGAAACGGTAAATTAAGTTTGCATTTAATGCGCTCACTAATCACAGCGTATGCGTGTCTGCGTGTGTGTGTGTGTGCGTGTGTGCATCAAATGATTTGTTTTTAACTCATGCGGTTTTTTTTTTTTTTTTTATTTTGCTTATGCATTTTTTTTTTTTTTATTTAACAAAAAAAAATGTATATTGTTTTTTTTTGTAGGTAGACCAAAGAGTGTTGAGAGCGCGAGTGTAGTGGGAGTCGGGCATTGGCAGCCATGACAATCATACTCTTCCTGGTGGACACCTCGTCGTCCATGTGCCAGAAGGCGTATGTGAATGGTGTGCAAAAAACGTATCTGGACATAGCCAAAGGTGCCGTCGAGACGTTTCTTAAATATCGTCAACGTACCCAGGATTGTCTCGGTGATCGTTATATGCTGCTCACGTTTGAGGAGCCGCCGGCGAACGTGAAGGCCGGCTGGAAGGAGAATCATGCCACATTTATGAATGAATTGAAAAATCTGCAAAGTCACGGTCTCACCTCAATGGGCGAATCGCTGCGCAACGCCTTCGATCTGCTCAACCTGAATCGGATGCAGTCGGGCATCGATACATACGGCCAGGGACGATGCCCGTTCTATCTGGAGCCCTCGGTCATTATTGTGATCACAGATGGCGGTCGCTATTCGTATCGCAACGGTGTCCATCAGGAGATCATATTGCCGCTAAGCAATCAAATACCGGGCACCAAATTCACCAAAGAGCCCTTCCGCTGGGATCAGCGCCTCTTCTCGCTCGTCTTGCGCATGCCGGGCAACAAGATCGATGAACGTGTCGACGGCAAGGTGCCACACGATGATTCGCCCATTGAGCGCATGTGCGAGGTAACCGGCGGCCGATCCTATCGCGTCCGCAGCCACTATGTGCTCAATCAGTGCATCGAGAGTCTGGTGCAGAAGGTTCAGCCCGGTGTTGTGCTGCAATTCGAGCCCATGCTGCCAAAGGAGTCGAGCGGTGGCAATGCCAGCAACAACAGCAGCAACAGCAGCAGCAGCAACAGCAACAACAACAGCAGCAACAACAGCAGCAGCAACAACAACAACAACAACAACAGCAACAACAACAACAACAGCAACAACAACAATAATAATAATAATAGTAATAGTAATAGTAATAATAATAATGGCGGCGCCAGCAGCTCGACAGCTGGCACATCCACGTCGTCGAATGAGCCGGCGCCGGACATTGTCTTCCAGCCGATCAAGAAGATGATCTATGTGCAAAAGCATATCACACAAAAGACTTTTCCCATCGGCTATTGGCCGCTGCCGGAGCCCTATTGGCCGGACTCGAAGGCGATCACATTGCCGCCACGTGATGCCCATCCAAAGCTAAAGATATTGACGCCCGCCGTCGATGAGCCGCAGCTGGTGCGCAGCTTTCCCGTGGACAAATACGAGATCGAGGGCTGCCCGCTGACGCTGCAGATACTCAATAAGCGGGAGATGAACAAATGCTGGCAGGTGATCGTCACGAATGGCATGCACGGATTCGAGCTGCCCTTTGGCTATCTGAAGGCATCGCCGAACTTTACGCAGGTGCATCTGTACGTGCTGGCCTACAACTATCCGGCGCTGTTGCCGCTGCTGCACGACCTCATCCACAAGTACAACATGAGTCCGCCCAACGATCTCATGTACAAGTTCAATGCCTATGTGCGCTCCATACCGCCGTATTATTGTCCGTTTTTGCGCAAGGCTTTGGTCAACATCAATGTGCCGTACCAGCTGTTGCAGTTCCTGCTGCCGGAGAATGTGGACAACTATTTGTCGCCGACAATAGCCAATCAGCTGAAGCACATCAAGAACACGGCCAAACAGGATCAGGAGAATCTCTGCCTGAAGGTCTACAAGCAGCTGAAACAGCCAAAGCCGCCCTATCGCCAGGTCGAGACGGCCAAACTGTGCACGGGCGCTGCACTGCGTCGTGATCTGGTGCGGCATCCGTTGCTGCGCGACACGTTCGCCAAGCTGCATGCCGAAATTGAGCCCGTGGAGAACTATACGATCGTTGTGCCCCAACTGACGCATCAGTCGTCGGCGAAAACGTATCGCAATCCGTTCGATATACCGCGACGGGATCTGGTCGATGAGATTGCTCGCATGCGTGAGACATTTCTGCGACCCGCCAGCCTGGTGGCCAAGGATTCTGGACATTGTTTGCCCATTGCCGAGATGGGCAACTATCAGGAGTATCTGAAGAACAAGGACAATCCGTTGCGCGAAATTGAGCCAACAAATGTACGCCAGCACATGTTCGGCAATCCGTACAAGAAGGACAAGCACATGGTCATGGTCGACGAGGCCGATCTTAGCGATGTGGCGCCCATGAAGCAGACCAGCTCCAATGGCGGCAACAACGGCAACTCGCCCACGTCCAGCGGCGGTGGCGGCGGCGGCAGTGGCGGCTCCGGCAACTCTGGCGTCGGAGGCATGGGTCCAGGTGGCGGCATATCCGGCCTAATGCTGGGCGGCGGCAACGGCAACAACGTCGGCGGCGGCGGCGGCGGCAGCAGCAGCAGCAATAGCATTGGCCTGGGCGGGCCCATGGGCGGCTTCGGCTCCAAGAAACTGGAGAGCACAACGCGCGGCCGCAAACGGAAGGCGGGTCCTTTGCCGCGCGCCTTCGAATTCCGGCGCATGTCCATGGACTCGTTGCGCAGCGGCAGCGCCAGCCCTAGCTCGACGGGCAGCGGCAGCGGCAGCAGCGTCTCCGAGCTGTTGCTCGACGAGGACAGCAACAGCAGCTATGCCTCCGAGGCGTCCATCAGCAGCAGCAACAGCAACAGCAGCATCAGCAGCAATGACGTGAGCAACATTGATGCCGGCAACATTGAGGCCGGCAACAATGACTCCGGCTTATCGCTGGGTCCGCATACGCCGGAGCGCATGAGCTTCGATTTCAGCGAGGAGGAGACCGGCGAGCAGGAGATGCCGCTCAACGGTTATGTGCACAACTTCATCAACGGCATAAGCGACGAGGAGCGCGCCAACGAAGCGGACAACAGCAGCAGCAGCAGCAGCAGCAATCTTAACAGTAACAGCAGCAGCAGCAACAGCAATGTTAACAGTAACAGCAGCAGCAACAACAGCAGCAATGTTATCAGCAGCAGTGGCAGCAACAGCATCAACAGCATCGCAGCAGCAACTGCCGCGACGGATGCGCTGGCAGCAGCAACAGCCAGCAGCAGCAGCCTGACTGCAATAGCTGCCGTCAGCAATGGCGCGCCTGAGCCGAGCAGCAGCAGCAGCAGCAGCAGCATCATAAGCTATGCCAGCAATCACAGCAGCAGCAACAGCGCCTGCAACAGCAGCAGCGGCGTATTTTATGTGCCGCTGAACGGGCTAACTATGCAGCATCATCCGGCGTACAGCAGCAATGTGGGCGCCACGCATGTGCCCCTCGACAATGCGCTGAACATGCTGGAGGCGACAACAGCAATGCATAAGGTTGGTGCCGGCGCAACAGCAATGCCGCCGCTGTTGCTGGTGGCCAATGGATATACGAGTCAGCATGCGGCGATGCTGTCGCCGCCGGCCGTAACCGCAGCAGCTGCGGCGACAGCGCCGGCAACAACAACAACAACAACAACAGCAGCAGCAGCAGCAGCAACGAGCAACAGCAGCAGTAGCAGCAGCTCAACAGCAGCAACACCTACCTATTATAGTCATAATGATATCAATGATGCCTCCGAGATCTCGCGCATATTGCAAACTTGCCACAACGGCAACAGCAGCAGCAACCACAGCAGCAGCAGCAGCAGCAGCAGCGGAGGCAGCAGTAACAGCAGCAACAATAACAGCGGCAGCGGCAGCAACACTTTAAATGGCAATGCCAGCGAGGGCAATGGCCATGATCCCGACATGGACAATCTGGCTGTGAATTGTTTTGATGCACTGAAGCGCACAGCTGGCGGCAGCAGCGCAACAACCGCCAGCAATCCGCATTTCTACTGGGGCAGCGGTCTCAGCCACTACAACAGCAACATCAACAGCAGCAGCACCGGCAGCAGCAACAACAGCTTTCACAATAGAAGCTACGGCAACAGCAGCCCCAAGCTGGAGCCAAAAGCATCGCCGACGCACGTCAGCAGCAGCAGCAGCAACAGCAACAGCAACATTAACAGCAGCAGCAGCAGCAACATTAACAGCAACAATAACAGCAACAGCAACAACAACAACAGCAGCAGCAGCAATAGCGGCAACAGCAGCAACAACAATAGCAATAACAACAACACCAACAGCAACAGCAACAGCAACAATAATAATAATAGCAATAACAACAACACCAATAACAATAATAATAATAATAGCAATAACAACAACAACAACAACAACAACAACAGCAACAACAACAACAACGATAACGATAACGATAATGTTATCGATAACGGTGAGATCGCGAGCTCGCCGGAACGCATCCTGCTCAGCGAGGATCAGCGGGAAGCGGCGCGCAAACATAATGTAGATTTGCGTTTGCAAATCTTTCGTGATATACGACGACCAGGTCGCGATTACAGCCAACTGTTGGAGCATTTGAATTTGATGAAGGGCGACCAGGAGATGAAGTCCGATTTCATAGACATGTGCATCAGCGAATCGATGCGCTTCCGGCGACACCAAATGGTCAACAGCATACAGGAATGGTGGGAGCGGAATCAGCAGCAGCTCGAGATAACAAAGAGTTAACGTTGGCTGCTATGGAACTGAGCGTGCAACAAGTAGCAGCAACACCAGCAGCAACAACAACAACAACAACATGCAACATGTCTGTGATGTCAACAACAACAACCAACAACAGCAGCCGTTAACTGAACCGCAGTGTTAGGTCTAGCCACATATATATATATATATATATATATATCAATCTATAGATATCTATCCAATTTATATATATATATATATATATATGTGTGTGTGTGTGCGTGACCTATGTAAAGTCTATTAGGAAAGCTTAAGATAAAGCACGAAACAGCGCGCCTGGCCCAATTAGAAATTATCTAATATATATATATATGCATATATATATTTAGTGTGTCAATTTCCAAATTCGAGTGCAAACAGCAAAATACACACACACACACACACACACACACAACACAACACACACATTTGTATATAGTGAAATTGTCGTGAGCAAATTAACTGTGTCGTGGGGTTTACGATTATTACCGATTTCTACATATACATATATATATATTATATTTTTTTTTCTTAGGGTTTGTATAGGGGCTGTATTTATGTAGTTGTTAAGCTTAAAAACAAAAACAAACAACAACAACAACAAAAAAACAACAACAACAACTTAATTGTAAGCAAAAGAAAATAACTAATTTTAAGTCAACGCAAAAAAAAAAGAAAAGAAAAGAAAAGAAAGAAAAAAAAAATTAATATTAAATTAAACGAAAAATTAGTTACATTACGTGTAAAGTTAAAGCAAATGTATGCAAGAATTAAAAACAATTTGTAGCGCATTAGATTATGTAATTAGTTGTTAGTCGATTTAGTCTATAGCCTAATAACTGTATTAGCCAAGTAAGCATAAAAACCAATTCAGTTCGTAAAAGCCTGCTAACAACAACAACAACAACAACAACAACAAAAAAACCACAAAAACAACAAAAAAACAAAACAAATCATATATCTTATATATTATTATAAAGGCTTTAGGCTTAAGCGAAAAACAAACAGCAACAACAACAACAAAAAGAAAAAAAGAATATCACATTTAATGTTTATTTTAATTAAAAACACACACACACACACACACTTTTTCTATTCTAATAACGCGTTCGACTTTTAAACGTTTGAGCTGTACAATATAATTCATAAATCATGTGTTTTTTTTTTTGTTTTTCGGGTTATTTTTTTTTTTTTTTTTTTGTTTAACTATCAGCTCGATTATTCGTCAGGTTTTTAAATTATGCAAATTATTATAAACTTTTCATTTATTTTTAAATAATCTTTGTTGTTTTTAGCAAAAGTTGACTTAATTATTGATCTATATATATATATATATATATATTTATACATAAATCTGTTCTAGGCGAAAAGTTTTTTTTTGTTCATAGCGTTTTTTTTTTTAACACTAAGTTTTATTTTAGTTTTTAGTTTTTATGCAGCAATTTCAACGTACATGTGTACATACATTCAAACACACACACACACACACATACACACACTTATACTTTTAACAAATTGCAATGCAGTTACATACAAACATACATTACATATTGCATACATACACACACACATATATATATATATATATAAAAACAAAATGAGAAAACGAAAAAGAAAATCTGTTTTTTAAACGCAAACATTTGTTATCGATAGATTTGTTTATTTCAATTTGCGCGCTTTTGCACACTGTTCATAGGCGTGAGACGAGAGGCGCGAGTTACCGTTAGAAAGGCGAGTGTGACTGTGTGCGTGCGTGTGACTGTGTGCGTGTGATTGTGCGTGTGCCTGTTTTATGTTACGTTCGAGCACATGAATTATTTTTAATAAAATAGCATATTTAACAAATTTCATAGGCAACAACAACAACAACAACAGCAACAACAACAACAACAAACAGCAGCTCGACATTTGGCTGCTAATTAAATAAAAAGTATTGCTTACAATTTATTTTTTGTGTGCCATTTGGCGTTTTCTTCTAATCAAATTTGTCGAACTATTTATTGTTTATTTTCTGCCCTCTGTCCCCGACATACCGCCCCTGCCATGACCCCCACTTGGTGGGCTGCGCCGCGGCAGTGAAGCCCATGTATGATATGAATGCGCCCCTGTGTAAACACAGTCCCCACTCGCCCTCCACCCACCCCCCCCCACCCACCACTACACATTTGACTAACATAACCTAATTTTATGGACGATAAACTTGGTTTAGCATTTAAATAACTGTATTATTTATTGAGTAGCACAGCAGAAGGCATATGTTAGATCATAAACTCAAGGCGAAATATCAAAATTTTTGTCGACTAACATTAACATATATATATATATATATATAAAATTTAACAATCTATAAAATCAATATGATCATGCAAATCTTGTACAATTTTTCTTTGATCAGCATTTTTGGAAATAATTCCCTAATGCCACACGTATTGCTATTTGTTATATTATAAGACACACAAAACAGTTTTATCTGAATTGCAGCTTTCAGGTCTTAAGAATCTGAAATTTTTTAGGTTATATTCGCAACATGTTCAAAAATCTCAGGCATATGTTATCGATTAATTGGCGCGCGTTTTGTATTTTAATAAAACTTGCTGCATTATTTTATATGCAGCTGTAAGGTGTGATATAGAATTTCAAAAATCAAAATGCAACAATGCAACAATACAGCTGATTGCAATCGATAACTGGTTCATCGGATCAATAATTGTCAGCCAAACTATCGAGTTGGTATTTGATATGTAATGGAAATAAGCAATATTATGATTAAGACAATAAATTAAAAAAAAAAAAAAAAATTATAAAATAATTCTAGCGAAATTCAATGAATTGTACAATTTTTGATGTCAACTTTGCGTCCTTCGCAACGTCACATAGCGTTGCCATTCTGTCGTATTAAACACTGACTCGCAGTTCACGCCAGAAATGAACCGGCCAAAAGTGAGGCAGTTCATTTGCACAGATTAGTTCATCAAACAGTCACCTAATGGACAAACCCAACACTAGCGGCTGACAGTTGTTGGGCGAGTGGCAAAGGCAAAGGCAAAGGCAAAGGCAAAAGCAAAAGTGAATTAAGGAAAGCAGAAGCAATATGCAAAATTAATGTGCACTACGCACGTTGTTTGCTGTTAACATTAAACGCAATGCAAATCATATTCAATTGCAGTCGCTAGCCCCATAACGCACACACACACACACACACACGCACACTCGCACATAAATTCACTCATCAAACGGCGTGTGATACAAATTTCAGTTGCAGTTGCGAGTTGCTGCGTTTTGCGAGTTTCCGTGTTATTTACTATTATTATTATTTTTTTGTTTTTTTTTTTTTGTTGTTTTTTTGTATGGTTTGCGGAAAGTAAAAGTGGCTGCCGTCGCCGCCTGCCTTTGCCTGTATGTGTATTTGTATATGTGTTTTTGTATTTATATTCATGCACGTTCGGTTACGTTGAGTGTGTGTGCGCGCGCGAATGTTTGTGTGTAAAAAGAAGTTGCAAAAATACAAAAGTTACGCAAAAACATAGCAAAATTGTGTAAAATAACAACATCAGCAGCAGCAGCAGCAGCAGCAGCGGCAGCAACAACAGCAGCAGCGGCAGTCTCGTGCCACTGTGTGTGTGTGTGCTGTGTGAGTGAGCGTGCGTGCGTGCGTGTGTGTTGTTGTTTGTGCTCTTCTTGGAGCGTACCGGCGGCACAGCAATGAGCGAAAACAACGGCAGCAGCAGCACGACCATCACAGCCGCGAATGGACCGCGCGTCGTTACCATCTACAAGACGGAAACTGGCTTCGGTTTCAATGTGCGCGGACAGGTGTCCGAGGGCGGACAATTGCGTTCTATTAACGGTGAACTGTACGCTCCGCTGCAGCATGTTAGCGCTGTGCTGGAGAACGGCGCCGCCGAGAAGGCTGGCATCAAGAAAGGCGATCGCATACTCGAGGTGTAAGTAGTCTAGTGTTAGTGCGTAAAAACAAAAAGAATAATGAAAAAAAAAAAAATAGATATATGAAGAAACTTCCTTCATGTTTGACCTGTTTGCCGTGCCCCGCCCTGCCCCGCAACGTCAGCGAAACACACGAGAGCGAGCGAGAGCGTGCGAGTTGTCTAGCCCACCCACAAAACGGCTCCACTCGAAATGGAAAAGAAACTTAAAACTGCGGCTTGGGAGTCCTGCAATCAATAAACGTTGTGTGTGTGCATATGTGTGCGTGTGCGTGTGTGTGTGTGTGAGAGAGAGGGTTGTTACTGAACTTTGTCGGCGTCATATCTGGCAACGGTGTGCTTCTTCTACTATGTGCTGTTGTTGTTGTTGTTGTAGTTGTAATGGCGTAATATTTATGCCATTGTTTGGCCACACTTACATGCACACACACACACACACACACACAAACACACACACACGCACGCCCACAGAGCAAGCTAATTAAAATGTCGCGCTCGCTCCGTCTTTCGCTCTATGTCACTCCACTCTCGCTCTCTCTCTCTCTTTGGCAAAACTTGCTCCTGCTCAACGCTAAGCTTTTGTTTTGCATCTTTGACAATTTGTGTTATCGGCGCACAGCCAAATGCTGCACCCGCCCCTCGCCGCTTATGCTATCAATCAAAACACATTGCATATAATTGAGTTTTGTGGACGCCCGTGCTTTGATAACCTTTCCGACCGACCGCCAGCCCGCCCGCTCTAGCTCCCTCCCCCTCTCTCTCTCTCTCTCTCTCTCTCTCTCTCTCTCTCTCTCTCTCTCTGTCCGTCTGTCTCTATATCTGGCTCGCTCTGTGGCAACTGGGAAAACCTGCGAAAACCTGCGCACAAATTCAATTAATAAATTTAGCAGCAGTTTCGTTGCGCGGCGGATAACAACTTAATTATCGTTGGCAGCGTTCAGTTAACCCGCACACAACCCCTCGCCCCCCCGCCAACCCACACTGCAGCACAACATGGCGCAGCAGCGTAAACCGCGCAGACACACGCCGCAAATTGGCAAATGTTTATTTTGCATGCATATATAGTATATATATATTTTACTTATATTTTTTGGCACTTCCCTCTGGGACGCAGCTGGCTGTTTGCGGTTGTTGTTGTTGTAGCGCCCATCATTTGATTATCCGCTCGTAACGGTAGAACAATCATAACAGTTATGTTTTGGGTGCACGTGTGCAGCAAAGCAACGGTAATAAAAGCTTCACGTTCAAGTTGTCGCTTCAAATGCGTGCATAATAATATTTGTCGCATTTGAACCGGTTCAAATCGGTTGTATTCGTTAATTGAATAAATGCAAAATCGAACCGGTTAATCAAAAAGACGATATGCACTTCAATTGCGGTAATTGTTTGTTCGCAAGCAAAACTTTTGCTCGCAGAAACCGTATTAGTAAACGATTTTTGATTTTTTTTTTGTAACGTTCTGTGCGCTTATCTTCGAATAAAAAGGAAAATAGCAAATCTGTTGGTTCATATAAAGTGGATGGTTTTCTGATTGGAGTATGCTCAACTTGAATATACCCTGGAACACGTCGCTCGAGGCAGAGCAGGGGAAATTTATTCTCGAATTGCATCGATGCTTACATTCCGAGTTTGTTTGTTTTGTTTTTTGGAATTTCTAAGGAAATTGCAAGTCATTTAAAAATTGAAATTGATTTCTGCAAATGTAGTTCTCAGAATATTTGCATTATGCTCACGAAAACAAGTTTCAAAAGGGTTGGAGTAAATTATTGAATAAAATAATAAACTTGTTTTGTGTACGGCATATGAGAGAATATAATAGATTTAAGATTTCAAGACTCCCGTGATCGAGACGTTCTCGCAGACAAGCAGGGCTGCAGCTGATCAAGAATATATCAACTTTATAAAGTTTTTAACCATTCGCATAAATGAAGCAAAGTCTTCTGAAAGTACCATACCATACAAATAGTTATAGCTACTTAGTTATAGACCATAGATTATGTATTTAGGCTAGAATATTTCCATATACAAACTTCCTGATCAGGATTATATAGTTTTTGAAATGGGAAATTCTATGAAATTAATTTATAGCATTGTCTACACATACCGAACTTTGCATATATAAGTACATAGAGATATGTGCTCTATGTTTGTTTACAAATCGTGAACCGTGAATAGTTCGCTTCGATATGTGAATGTTGTATACATTGTGTATTCCGTGTTACTATCAAATAACTCAACTTTTAAGCTGCACCTTGATAAAGCAAAGTCTGCTTATCTCTCAACAGTTTTGTATGCGTATTTATAAATATATAAATATATTTATTTATAAATAACAGTTGCGTCCAGTACAATTGGGAACGAAATTGAGAATTTCTTGTCACCATTTGCATTTATTTTTGTTTATTTTTTATTATTATTTTGTTTATTTTTTCAACTGTAATTTGAGTCTCTTTCGTTCGCATAGATTCAGTCAAATGTGCCAAACAGAATTAATACGGTTCATTTGTGTTTTTCGTTCACTTTTTGTTGTTGATTTTTTATTTTTTGTTTCGGTATTTAAAGTATTTAATGTCGCAAATTACCAGGAAACTCGTAATAAATGTGCGTGGAATGTTTGTTTCTGTGGAATTTGTCATCCATATAATCACAATTATAATTTATTTTTTATTTTACGCTGGTCAATTGCATTTAGATCAGAAAGCCCTATTGAACTAGTTCAATCGCACGGCTAGTTCGTGAATATATATGCAGCCAGTGTTGCCAACTGCCGATTTCAAAGAATTTAAATGAATGCAACATTTTAAAAATGCCTTGCAATTCAAGAAAAATAGCTAAGTTTGTTTACAAATCTCTCATATGTTATAGACTTATTCAATTGGGAACCACGCTTGAACTGGTTCACAAATGCTACTATGGGGTTTGAGGGGCGTCGAGTTCGTTCAAATGAACCAGTTCACTTAATACATATATTAATAAGTATGTTATTCATGATTAATAACTAAATTATTTATATATTCTTATTATTCAAATTATTTTCCATGAATAATATCCAAATTGTTCAATTATTTGAATCGATATATTTCTTGAGGCCTTAGTCAATTTATAGATATTATGAAATACTTAAACATAGTTTCATAGATCAAGATTTATTTAAAATGCTGTTTTTGACGAACTTTCCATTATTTGAATTTCGAGCTAAATGGCATCGAAGCGTGCACATACATATATTTAAATTGTAAATAATACTCTTATTTAATTGAACTCAGCTTTCAATTGATATCTGCTTGTCCAGCCCTGTTTTGTCCAGCCCTGTTGCTATTGCGTGCCTCTCTCCACCCACTCTCTTGTTCTCTTGCAGCGACCGCTCCCTCTCTCTCTCTCTCTCTCTCTCTCTTTGTCTCTCCTTCGCTTCCGAGGGGCGTTTTTTGTGCCGGTTGCCAACCGCCAACGCCGCCTCCTCTCATCCTCCGCATCCGTTCGACCGCATCGGGCTTATCAACATTTCTGCTTTATTTGGCTGCTCAGTGGAGTGGGTGGTGGCTGCAGCTGTTAGGGTGGGAGGGGGGTGGCGTGCTACTTAGTTGTGTTTAAATATTTGTCGCTCATTGTTTATTCATCTAAATGCTTTCAAATAATTGCTTTGTTGCGGCTAATTACTCATAGATTCTGCCACAGCTGCTCGAGCACGCCCCTTGCTGAATCCATGGCCGCCCCCTTCCCTAACCCTGTCAGCTGCAGCTGTTGGGCCGCGGCCCACTTGGTGGGCGCATTGTTGCACAGACTGCCATTGCAGCGCACACAGTAGGGATCATTGGCGCTGCATTCGGGCACCTCGTCCGCACAGCCCCGCACCGTGTAGACCAACTGCAGCCGGTTGATTATCGTGCTGACGCACAGCTCGGTCGGCCTGCTGCAGTTGCTCAATGTCATCGCGTTGGGCTGCTCCATGGCGGCGCAGTCGTCGCCCTGCTCCTGCGAATTGCAGCGATAGCAACTGCGCACGGACCAACGATTGCAACCGTCGCCGCTGCGGCACAGCTGGCATGCCTCACCTGTCCCGGCCACGAAATTCGCATCGGCGCAGCCGCGACGCAGCAGCGTATCTGCGGAAGTAAAAAAAAATATAATCAAATTGTTTACAAAGTTTGTGCAACAATTGGGTTAAGCAGCTCACATTCAAGTGTGCTAAGAAAATGACGATCTGGCAGCACCGCAAGCTGATGTGTGTGTTAAGTTGGCTGCAGCTGGTTTATTTTGTGAAATAAAACTGAGTTGAGAGCTCATTAAGCATTGAATATAGTGTATTGGTTAAGCTGAAAAGCTTAAACAAACGAAAGACATAAACTATTTGGTTCACACATGGAACTAGTTCATTTAACTATAACTCATTTGGCTTAATGTCAACTAGAAGAGTGTGTTTTCATCTGACAACTTGTTAAATAGAAAAGCTCGAAGAATGGAAAGAAAAAACAGTTTGGTTCACCATGTGAACTAGTTCATTTTACTTGAACTAATTTAACTTGACAGCGATTAGAATAATGTTACTCAACTTGACAATTTGTTAGCTCAATAAGCTTAAAGGAAGTACAAAACAGTTTGCTTCATATTTGGAACTAGTTCATTGAACTTTAACTCATTCATATAAGGAGCTACTAAAGGAATCTATCTTAACTTGACAATTTGCTAACTTGATAAGCTCAAAAACAATTTGGTTCACAGTTGGAACTAGTTCAATTAACTGATTCAGCGACTGTACCAGCGCCGGACTCACCCTAACCTTGCTCGCACGAATAACAGGCAGTGGTGCCCGCAGCACACGGCTCAGTCTTAAGGGCGTGTCCAGTGCGGCAATTGGGATCGCTGGTGGAATTGCAGGTGGCACAGGCAATATCCAGGCACTGGGCATTGCAATTGTCGCCATAGCATTGTTGCAGCTCGCCGGTGGGAAAGAAGCCCATCGTGGTGGAGCAGCCGCGCTGCAGCACCTCCGTTTGGGTGTT